TTGAGTAGTTTTTACTAAAATATCAACACACTTTCAGTCGTTTCTCTAAATGTATTTTCATGTTAACTTTTAAACAAACAGTTTACTAAGATTTCATTACTGGGCTTTAATATTTTTTGTTGAGGCAGTTTTGGCAGGAATTACAGTTTTAACTCTTCTTGGGGATGTATCTACAATGGGAGTGAATACTTGTGCTTAAATGTCACCATTTTTTGGTGGAATGAGAGAAATATTCCAAATAGATTGTTTCAACTAAATACTTTATTAAACATTTGTTGAAGACGTTGATATGAAGGTATTGTAAAGCTGCACAGTTACTGCCCACTTTTGCAAAAATTCCGACTTCTTTGACCCAATGTTCGTTGCACAGAAGTACATATCCAGGATCATAAAACATCTCAGCCAAAGATTCACATGAACCTGTTGAGCAGATTTGAGTTTTTTCCCTACGTAGGTTTGAACTGGGAGCGGCTCTCTTCATAGGCTGGTCTGGATCCGTGCTTTGTATTTTAGGTGGACTTCTATTGTGCCTCTCCCTTTCTGAAAGCTTCAGCTTACGGTCAGCATTTTTTTTAAGTTTTACAAACACAATATGATAATATATGTAATCACTTCTTAAATAGTTTTTCTAATTTTTGCAGAGGCAAATACTCTTACACAGGAGCACCGTCATTCGGTACAACACACAACAACATGGCAAACAGCCTGCAAATGGAGCCACGAGAGCTGAGGAAACACATAAGAAACGCTTATGTGTGAAACAAACTGGACTCTGTCTTCTTTCTTAGGTTTACTGCATAGATTTCTATTTTTTATGAAATAACCTCTCAATAACAGAAGCACATATCTAAGGCCATCTAAGGTCAAATTTTAGATTAAGCTCAGAAATATTTAAGAAAAATACTATCAAAAGTTAAATGATTTTTTTTTACTTTTGAAGCTTTTATGAATTTCCGGTAATAACGTCGAGCTGACGCATTACATACATCACGGACAAATTTCAACTTCAATAGAATCCATGGCTTCCAAGCAGCAATCGTTTCTCATTGGTCGAGAGTCCAGACCTTCTGTACGAAGCCATTAGCATTAAAAAAAAAAAAAAAGGACCTGGTTTTTACCAGGCTACCTGAGCAGTTGTTCATTTTTAATATCTCACTACAATAACTTACATCAAAATGCCAACTGGAACTAGTAACAAAGAACAGTTCTTTCATCTCTGCTATGAGAACATTCATTGCTCCTGGGAACTCTCATTATCTTGGATTTACTTGTAATTAGAACAACACAAAGACTCCGTGGTGTCTCTCTGGGAACCATGGCACAGTGCGTACCTGGTGAAACGATCAATAACCAGCAGCTTACAGCCCAAGGCACAATCGAGAGTGATGCTTCAAGCAGCCCCACTCATGTCAGTAGTGCTATTACATGTTTCATGTAAAGGTCAAAACAACTGAAGCATACAGTTTACGGTAGCATCAATCAGAAGATAGAAGTCGTAAAACAAAACACAAAGATTTACGCCTGATGAGAGATGTTTTGTTGTAAGTTAAGGGTCAGAAAGTGAAGTTGGGCGAGTGTGAAATTGAAAGGGTATGCCAGTATTTTATGTCAGAAATCAGCCACAATGGAGAGGTTTTGAGAATTAATGCTGTGTTTTAGGTCATTTCAATCTGATTTAAGGCCACACTTTGACTAGACTTAAGCCATAAATGTGGTTAATAACAGGTAGCTTTTGATCTAACAGGAGTGTATTTACTTCATCTGGATCAGGTTAGTTAAAAACTGGCATTTAAAAACTGCATTTTGTATTTACTCTGGTAATTTCTGTCTGACATTAAACTTTTGCTTGAAGCGCTCAAACATTTTTTGCATGACAAAACATGAAACCATAAGACGGACATAATAAAAAAGGTACGTAAAAGTAGTTTGGCTTACCTTAAAATTGGTTTCAGACAATTTTAAGGCAAAACTATTTTAAGATAATTTTGTCTTATTTTGGACATATTCCTGAATCTGCAAGAAATTTGAGTAGATACATTAAGTTCTGTGTAACCTGATATTTGCTTGGTTAAGTGGTTTTAGTCTAGATTCTAATCTGGCCGTTTTCAGCAGTGGCTTCTGGGAACCAGAGTGAATTCTGTCTCCCACCCACATTTTATGAAACACCTGATCTGGTAAACACTCCTGCACTGCATCAGACCAATTCACCTGCTCGACTTTCTTTGAAGACTCATTGGGCAGGGGACCGACCACATAATCTGGAGAATAAACCCTAAACATTGGAGACGGTAAACATTGCTGGATGAGAAATCTAGAAGGAAACCCACCTGCAGAGGCCTAAAAATGAAGATCAGAGTGGTCCAAATCTGGGGATTTTTAATGACCGTGTTAGGCTGGATCTTTGTGGCCTGCACCATGGCTATGGAGGGCTGGAAGATAGCCTCAGTTGGTGGTATGGGTGGTTCGTCCATCATCAAAGTGGCATGGCACTGGTCCAGCTTATGGAGAAAATGCTTCACTGATTCAACTGCCGTCAGTAATTGCTATGATTTCCCTGTGCTGTGGTCTGTGGACGGTAAGTAAACACATAGTCATGTACTTTGATCTGTATCCACTTTGTTTGCAAATATGCCTATATAAATGTCTGTCTGTGATTAAAGGGTACGTTCAAATAGTGCGAGGCCTACTGATGGGAGCCCTTTCTCTGGGTATGCTGGGGTTCATACTCAGCCTGCTGGGTATGGAATGCACCCATATTGGGGGTAAAGACCCTTCAAAGTACAAGAAGATCTTTACGGGTGGATTGTGCCACATCATCAGTGGTAAGATTATTTTATTTTTTTCAAAATGTGTATGATTTAATAAATCCCAGTTCTTTGTAATTTTCATGTTTTGTCATATTGCTTTAAAACATGTCCTCCTGCCTAATTTTTTCCAAAAGATGGAGTCGCTTAAATTGCTAACAAGAAAATGACCAGCTCAGACTTTGTCTTACTAAAATGGCAGAAAACTAGCTGAAATTGTTATATTTTAATATACCAACCAAGAAAAGGTTGCTATGTTTAAACAAAGTACTAAAAATCAATGTACTTTGATTTTTTTGTTGTGCTAGCTTAGTGGTAGTAAGTACTTTCCCCAGAAGCACAGGCATGCTAGCTAGCTCTAGTACTATTAAACTAATTTGAATGAAAATTTTTTTTAAACAGCTCAAACTATGACCAAACTCGTAAAAGATTGAAAATTCAGTTATTAGCATACATTGTCTTTTTCATACAATTTCTTTTTTTAAAAAGATGAGGGAACTTTTGAATTTTACCTGTGATAGCATGCTAGCAATAAGAACACTACAAAGGTTCTGGAATGACCATAAGTTAGCTAGCAGCTCCAATTACAATTTGACTTTAAGTAAAAAAAAAACAAATAAATAAAAAATGGGAATAAAGATTATTCATGCTACTCTTATTTCTGCCATATCTCTTCAAGAAAAAAAAAAGAACTATATTATGCATCTTTGAATAGGCTTTTTTAAAAATTCTTACTATAGACAAAATGTCAGCTCAATGAAACGATTACTTTTGCACAAGGTCTCTTTAGGTGACGTGAATGTTAAATGAAATTTGCTTCTGACTGACATTTTTAGAATTGTACTGAGTTTCATTCGAATTGATAGAATTGTGTCATTATTTTGAAGGTACATGGCCCTTTTGATAAAAAAAATGAAAGGATTTAATGAAATTATTAGATAATCCAGCATTATTATTGTACAAGATGCACAAATTGAGCTGTGACAGGCTATCCACCTATCACCCTACAAGCTTCCAATCCTCCTTTGGAGTTCATGAGTGCCAAAATGAGAAACTTTATGATATCCATTAAACCTAACTATTCTAAGAAATTTGACAAAGTCTAGTGACTGGATACTCCATTAATATTTTTCCAACATGATTTTCTCTCAGGTGCATTGTCCACATGTGGGTATGCCGTGTATTCAGAGTACGTCATGATCGAAAACATCGATGTTCAGCTGATTGGACTCGAGTAAGTTAACAGGGCTGATCAAACAAACATGCATTGACCACCTTACCTTTGAAACCATGACTTTCTTTTCGTTGTAAATCTGTTGTCTTTTTAATACAGGTAAAAAATCTTAGTGTATTAATCTTGCATGATATCCATTTAACTATTTTCAGGTATGGCCTTGGCACTCCGATGTTCCTTGGCTGGGTGGGCTCAGCCTTTCACATGACTGGTGGTTTTTTCTATCTGTGGTCCGTATGCACGCCGCTCTGTGGAAGAGGAGAAAGGTCAGTAATGGAGTCATTACCTGCTATTGTATGACCAAATTGAAGTGACACTACAATACTCACTTCCACAGACGTTAAACGATAAAACAACTTCAGTGGGCACATGGTTAGGGATTTTAGTAAACAACTTTTGACTTCACTATAAAATACTTAGGTCAGAATTTTGTGCCTTCAAAAATTTGCAGCGAAATGTTGAGAACAGCTCATTTTGCAGTTTTACTTGTTAAAATGTTGAAAAAGATGCATATTTTCCTTATTCTTCCTATTTTCTGCACTACTTTCTGTTAGTCTATCCAGATTCAGATGTTTTATTAACCAAATACTATATGACCAAATGTAATGCTTTTAATCGGAGGTAAATGGGGCAAGTAATACTAGCATTTTGGCTCTTATGTTAGCACTTTGTGTTTCGTGGGTGCTTTGGGATGTGGATTTCTTCAGCCAATTAATTTTAAAACTTATCCTCTCTCTTTTTATTCTTTTTTTGTTTAGGGTAATTAAGATAAAACCACAGCCAGACCTGGAGAAAAACAAGCCCACCACAGCTTCTTCTGCCGTATCAGAGGTCACCTCCAATACCAAACTGTCGTCCATCTCTAAGCTTTCATCCCGGTCCGAGCGTTCGGATGTATCCTCCTTGGCTTCCAAATCGACACACACATCCAAATCTGGGCGTACGGCCATGTCGGGACGGACCCCAAGATCAAATGGAAACTCCGAATATGGTTCGGGATCCAGAACAGGATCTGAGTTTCAGTCAGGCCTGTCCTCAGAGTCCAGCCTGTCTACACTGTCGGAATCAAGGAGCAGCAGTCGGAGCAGCGGCAGCAGTCGGAGCAGCGGCAGCAGTCGGAGCAGCGGAAGCAGTCAAAGAAGCAGCCACAGCAGTCGAAGCAGCCGCACAGTGTCCTCTCTGTCTGGCAGTTTGAGAAGCGGAAATACACCGTTTGTCAAAAACTCCTACATTTGATCAGATAAATTAAAATGTCGAATGTCAAAATTACTACATAAACAACTCTGCAAATGTTTCTGACATAAAGAAAATTCTGATTAAGTTACCAGATGCAAGCTAACTGAATCATTAGCTTATGAATGTTAGCCATTTTATGTTAAGCAGATTTGAGTTTTATTTTAACGCTGCACTCCAAAAATTGTTTGGCCTTCCCTTGACTTTTTAATGGTATGTTCCCTTTAAATACTGACACATTATTGATCTTTCAGTCACGAATACAATAAAAATGCCTCTTGATGTCACAAATCCAACTGTGTAAGTTAGTATGTTCCTACAATCAGTGTCCAATATGGCTGCCGCACATACAGAAAGTGGAAGTTGCCTAAATGGGAAATTCCACTTCCTTTCACAAGATCCTACCTGAATAATAAGGTCAAGAAATTCAATATTACCCTCTTTATAAATGAAAACATGTCTGTTCAAAATCTGCATATTAAGTTTTTTTTGTTTGTTTGTTTCTTGGGCAAACTTTAAGATGCTAACACAATACACTGTATTCGTGCTGTAAATAAAGCTTTTTTTTTGTTGAAAACCTTTTATTTGAAAATCTCATGAAGATTTTACACTGACTGCTTATAACTACTTCACATAACCACAATTGAAAACCAGCAAATTAATTACTCTAATGAAAATTGAAACTGTGTGGAAAAACTTTACTAGTGAATGTTTTGTAATAATAGAATCTAAAGATTGATACATGAGTTTGTTGACTTTAGCTGAGTTTATCACCTAGATTTTCCTAATTTGTTTATCCAAACATTATTTCAATGAGACCTTTTTGAGATTTTATGACCTGTAGACACCAATCGAAATGCCAATGGTTTGGTTGACAGTAAACAAAGCTTTCTTCAAGCAAATGCTCGTACAGGCTCAGAAAGGAAAATTCATCTGGAAGAAACGCATTGTGGTTTTAATGTTATTATATTATAAAATAAATTTTTTTTAAGTGATGTCTAGGAGAACCATTCAGATCCTAGGTCTGCTGCTCTACATGCTGGGCTGGGTCTTCGTGGGCTGCACTCTTGCTATGGGACACTGGAGGTAAGCAAATAAATGGTCAAGAAAAATAGAAATTCTGTGACTAAGTAAAAATAGTTTCTACTAGCAATAAATGGTTGTTTGAGTTAACTTTTTTTTTTTTTTTTGCAAAAGCCGTCCTAAGTATTGAACCTTTTCTATTTTCCATTTATTGACACAAGACACAGTGGTGCTCAACTGTAAATAAAATGAGGATGTTACAAAAATAACATATTTTTGTAACTTCTACAAAAATATGTTTTCCCATATTTGTTGAAACTGTCAACAAATACACTGTCACGATAATACTGTCGTGACAGTCTAATATGAGACACAATCTGTGAAAAAGATCGAGCTCCTCCCCCTCCTCCCTGTGCTGTTATCACCATGTGAAGAAAGACACCACTCCCCAATCAAAAACAACCAATCACAGCATGGAGGAGGATCTTAGCAGTGTCGATCAACCTCATGAACGCACAGCTAGATGTACTAATGGGGAGAAACAATTCACTGTTACAGGAAAACAGTTTATCCGTTGTCAGTGGCCATGCTAACTAGCCTTAGCATTCACAACAGGCTCTGCTGATGGGGAGAAGCTACACACACACACACACACACACACACACACACAAGGGCTGATTGACAGCGCTAAAGCCCTCCTCCCTATGATAAGATACATACTGCTGAAGAAGTATCAGAAATTACTTTTTGCTAACATGCTAGCGTTTAATTATTGTGACTGGTATTTTCAACTGGCTGCTTATGGTGGATCTCAGTTAACTGCAGAGCCCCTGATTAAGTTAAAAAGATGTACTGTAAGGTTTGTTCAGACACAGAACTTCATTCTTGTCTGCAGTTTTCACTGCAGCATGTAAACGAGGAAGTCAACAGTAACTGGTCGACATTACTGCATGTATCCCTCTCATCATTTGCTTGTGGTTTAACTTGGTGTCAGCGTTGTTACACCCCATTTCTTAATTCTACTATGTGGTTAAGATCGGGTAATTTGCACTAAGTATCAAAGCATAATTCACTTCTGATATAAGAATTTGAAATGTTCTTATCAAGCTGCTTCAATCTCATAATTAGATAAAGGAGTATTTCAGTTTTGATTTTCTGAATTAAGAGTGGCCCAGCTCGGCGGCCACGGCGGCTCCTCGGTGGTGGCGACAGAGTGGTACTGGTCTGACCTGTGGAAGGACTGCCGGCAGGACTCCACGGCTGTCGTGAACTGCGTGGACAATGGTCTGCTGTGGGCAGTCAAACGTGGGTTCAAGATATATATAAAAAGTAAATAACCGGTGTTCATTTGGGAGTATTTTACTGTTTTTTTTTTTTTTATTTTCTAGGGTACATCCAGGCAGTCAGGGGTCTGCTGCTGGTTGGGCTCTGCCTCGGATTGCTCGGGACCGTGCTCTCGTTTTTTGGGATGGAATGCACATGGATTGGCGGGGGGCCAAGCACCAAGGACGGGATGCTGATGGGAGCGTGTGCTGTCCAGCTGCTGGGCTGTAAGAGGGATGAGTTCTAGAAAGCTTGAGCTGCTGTTGTGAAAACAAAACTCCTACTGACCGGTTTGCCTCGTTCCCCCACTCCCTCTCTTCCACTTCCACCAGGCATCTCAGACGTGGCTGGTTACTGTTTATACATAAACAAAGTGATTTCAGCTGTTTTACACATCAAAGCAGATCCATCAAAACTGAGGTGAGGTGACGTTACATAAGAACATTACTATTATGAGTAAACATACTTTTCAATCACGTTTCCTCAGCTATGAGATCGGACCGCCCGTCTACCTCGGTTTGGTGGGGAGTCTTCTCCTGTTGCTTGGCTGCACTGTTCACTGTGCAACTGCATGCAGAGTTATCCGTCCACAAAGGTTCGCTTACTTACCTTTAAAATAAAAACAAAACTATAAAAAGTTTCACATTATACTCTCCATTGCAGACATGCTACATGTCCCTCCGTCAGACAGGACGAAGAACGCGTCAGCAAATCGAGGATTTCTTCTTACAAGATGGCTGCCGTTGTCGTCGTGTAACGAAACCTCACCGAAGCCGTCCATGTTTGATTTATTCTAGAGTCAAAATTGAATCATATCGTCCCCACACCATGATGCTGCCACTCCCATGTTTAACTTTTGAGGATGGATTGACATAGGTTTTGCTTTATATATAAGCAAATTAAACATTTTTTGGAGGAAAAACCCCCCCCTAAAAACTAGACGGAGTTCTCATACAAAAAAAATTTAGTTCAAATATATCAATTGATATTAATTACTGCTGTGCAACCAGTTTTATTGAGTTATGCAGCAGTAAAGTGATCTAAAGCACTCAAATAAGAGCAAAAATTGACCAGTGGCCTAATCAAATCCCATGAGATGCCATGGTATGATGCTTAAGCAGCTTAAGGTCCTCCGAGCTCCATTAAGCTTAAATGGGTTAGTCTAGATATCTTTTACACTTTCGTAAATGTTTTTTTTATTTCCAAAATGTATTTGCTCTGGTTATTTTTTAATATATATTTTTTTTATTTGTTCTGAATCATGTGAGACAAAAACAGACGTTGAATTCCTCTGGTCTATTTTTGTTAAATTATTTCTGTGTAGCCACTTGGAAACTGTTGTTTGAAGGGAAGAAAAGCTATATAAATAAAAATGATATTGACAATTTATATTGTTTCAATGAACTATAAAGAAATTTCACCTGCATTACTGTTATGTTTACATGCCACAACTATACAGTATATATTTTAAAAGTTGTAATATAAAATAGCAATGAGCAGAGCAGTCATATTAAAATAAAAAAAAGTTTTTAAAAATAAATATAAAAAATAAGTTATTTAAAAGTTCCTATTTAGTACAAGCATAAAGCTTTTTGAATAATAAGAATGCATCTTTATAAAGGAAATCTAAGAATGTTGATGACAAACAGATCTAAAAGTAAAAACATTGCAAATTTTTACTTTAATCTCAGACGTTTTCTAGGAAGAAAACATGGAACTTTCTCAGTCTCAAGAAGTCAAAAATTTTCCACCTTTGGAAATTTTTTTCAAAAGTCCCGTTTTTTTTCTAGAAAATGTCTGAGTTTTTGCAGAATATACTCTTTTTTCTGTCCACAAAGGCCTTAATAGGCTGTAGTATAGACATGTAGAGGAGTGGTGTAATATAATCCCTTCGCTCAGCTGGGAACAGGAAGGATGCTTACTTGGCAAAACTATCTCAAAGATAAGATGAGACACAACCCAAAGCATTATGGGTCTATTACCTGTCCGCACTGCAGGGATAACGCAGAGGGAACCTTCAGTCCCGGTTCCCAGGGCGAGACGTTATTATTTCCGTTTTTAGCCGAGAATCAGCGCCGACCATGGAGTACCGGATGGTGATTATGTACGTGGAGATCGGCTGCTTTGTAACCAGTCTGTGCGGCTGGATCCTGGTGTGTTCCACTCTTCCCACCGAGTACTGGACGTTCTCTGAGGTGAACAGCATCGTGCTGACAACCTCCAACTACTACTCCAACCTGTGGAGAGACTGCATCTCGGACACGACGGGGGTCTCCGACTGCAAGGACTACCCGTCCATGTTGGCCCTGCCTGGTAAGGCACTGAAAACTCCACAACAGACTTTTCTTTTTTTTTTTTTTTTATAAATTGCTGTACTTCATTTTCAGAAGCACCTATAGCTCATTTTATTTCTACTTTAGTGTACCTGCATGCGCTCAGAGCACTGGCGGTCTGCGCCGTGATCACGGGGTTCTTTGGAGGCGTCCTCACGCTTATCGGGATGAAATGCACGAAAATTGGTGGGACAGAGATTACCAACGCAAGGGTGACGTTTTCTGGTGGTATAACCTACTTAGTTTCAGGTGAACTTTTTTTTTTTTTTAAGTGTTCAGATATCTTTTTTTTTTTTTTTTATGATAAAACTTCAAATTTAAATAAAGTGAATGTTTTTTTCTATAGGTTTCTGTGGGATGATAACATACTCATGGTGGGCTAACAGAGTCATAACACAGTTTGTGGATCCAAACTTCAAGGCCCAGAAGTGAGTAATACTGAAAGTTTTGTTAGAATATTACTAAATAAAACGGATTGTGAACGAGTTGTGTCTTTCCGTCCAGATTTGAACTGGGCGCTGCTGTTTTCATTGGTTGGGGAGGATCCATCCTGCTCATTAGTGGGGGAATGGTGCTCACTTACTTCTCTGGAAAAGAAGGTCTACCAAAAAGGTAAATTGCAGCCCGGTCGCTGCGGTCGGGCTGCACTAGAAAGCCACAGATCCATCAGAGCTTTCTCCCATTGACTTTGATTCCTCTGGTAGAGTTTCAAGTTGCGAACGATGACGTAATTTTTCTGCACCGTTTTGGAATTGTGGTCTGACTGGAGTTTTAGGAATAGCAGCGTAGAAAGTTAACGATACGATGTGTATTAGAGCCATTGAAGAATGGGGCGGGGGAAAAAGCTGTAAATTTCTGCCCCAAAAAAAAAAAAAAAAGGGGGTTTAGCAATTGGAGATTTTAATTTCCAAGCTTTTTCTAGGAAAAAACTTGGGACATTTCTGAATTACAAAAGTGGGAAATTTTCAACTTCTGAAACTCTGAAATTTTCACTCCCCCCCCCAAAATCCTGAGATTGATCTAAAAATGTCTTCGCTTTTTGGCAGAAATTTGCTCATTTTTAATGTTTTGCTTTATCTACAATGGCCCTAATATGTTGTCGTAAAACGAAGCAGTTCAGTCCATGGTGGCCAGACTTCCAAATATTAACAGCCACTGTGTTTGGCTCGGCATTTCTCTTTTTGTAGTGGAGAATGGTTGTTTACAGCTCAGGCAATTTTTTGGTAAGCTTCAAAGCATTAGCAATTGGATAAAATTTAAATCCAGGCTACACAGAGTGACATTTCAGATAAAAGATGATAACAACCAGGGCTGGGTGACCTGTTTCTGTCTCTGTTTTCCATTACAGTTCATCAAAAGGACGACGAAGGCCGGCTTCTTATGCTACCGTCCGCACCAGACGGACGTACATGCGGCCGCCGTCGTCGTCCAGAGTGACGCTGGTGCCGCCGCTGTATTATCCAGATGGGAGGAGTCAAACAACCAGAGGGACAAGAAGATCCACTCCCATCGAGAACCGGGACACCTTTGTATGAGCTAAAAACTCAAAACAGAGTGACTGAGCGGATTCTGTGGATCCATAGTGCCGTCTGTTTGAAGAAGTTACATTTTTTAAGAGTTTAAAGAGAAATACAAGTTCTCCTTTCTGGATAAATCCCCGATAGTTTCTAAAGGAAGCTTTTGATGAAATGCTGAGTGCTTCCTAAAAGTTTAAACTGTTTCCCCAAAGAGAATAAGTTTCTGGAAAACCACCCTGTATTCTGAACAGAAGTCAAAGGTTTAGCATTTAAGAGTCGCACTAGTAAAGTTAACTGATAAATCATAGTTTTATTTAATCTGTTTGCTTTAATTATGAAAGCATTTTTCAGTGCTAATTTTATTGCCCACTACATAGATTCTTCTGTTCTTGAAGCATTTCTTCTGCTTATGTTTTATTTTTTAAACAGGGTTTAATTTTGGATTTCTTATTTTCTATATTGAATAAACCCTTATGTTATGTGCAACTGTAAGCTATTTGGTGGCCAGGCAGAACTGAGCAACGCTGAGGAAACTTGACTAATTAGATTTCTGATGAAGTGTGTTGTATTCATATTTTTTTGTAAATAAAGTTTTTTTTTATGTTGGGAAAAATACAAGTGAAAAATGTGCACCTAGCCTGAGATCATGATCCTATGCAACACAAGACCATAACTGATCATTTAAAAAAATAATCATAAGGGTAAAATAATTGCTATTTTAAATTTAAAAAATACATATACATTTATTTTCATTTAAATGTTTTTAGTTGCTCACATAAGCAGTATAAGGCAGGCTAAACTATTTTTGCTGTCATCCAATCAGCGATAATCATTTCAGGTATTTGATTAAAAAAAAATGTCTGAAGACTAAATTTAGAAAACTGGAGTGGCTCCCTTTAAACTATGGGGAGTGGAAGGATGACCTGAGTGCTCAAAATCTCATCTTTATTGCTTGAATAAATATTACATGTAAATTAATACAAAATTTGATGTACAAAATCTGATAGAAATGTACAATATTTTACAAAAACATTCTGTGGCTCAGAAGAAGATTTAAACATACAAAAGAAAATATATAGAAGTCTGACAAAAAAAATTTGAACTGGCACAAGGCATTAAGATAAAAATAGAAAGCTGTCACCTAGTTTGTAGTTAAAACGTTAACAAGATAATTCATATTTTTTAATCAAAATCTGATTCTGGTCCTGGACTGTCTACTTGAAGGTATTGCTTCATTCTCTTTTTTTTAATCACAAAGTCCATAGAATAAATAAACAGAATAACTTTTCTTTGGCTGGAGAAGTGAGAGGCTGAGGTCCTCATGTTAGCTACGTTACCTGATCTGCTGCAGTGCTAATGCTACTTATTGCTTATGTCCTCCGAGTCGCTGATGTCGCTGAAAGAGCACAGGCTGCTCTTCAGCGTGCTTCCTGTTCCCGTTTCGGTCAGACCTGCCAGGCACAACAGCAGCAATTACAGCATCACACACAGACCAACACGTTTGGAGCTCAGAGGAAGCCTAAGAGTCGGAATGACTCTGACCTGATTTGGGGGCTTTTCCCGTAGACGTCCCCCAGACGCTGGTGCTGGACGAGTCCAGGCTCTTCCTCATGGGTCCGGAGCCACGGAGAGACGTTTGCTTAGACGCTCCCGGTTTGTCCTCCAGAGAGGAGACCATCCACTCACTGCTCTCCTCTAGATCCGTCAGCTGTCGACACAAACCTCATTCCTTTGGTCCTGCTGGTTAACATTCTCTGGGAATTAGTTGCTTCTAATCTTGTTTTCTTACCGAAATCTCCTGAACTTCGTCCTTTCTCTCTGGAAGAATGCTTACGCCCCCTGTAGGCTTTTTTACTGCTCTCTCTGATATGTGCAGTTCAACTTTTCTGGCCAAATCAGCAACTTTATCTGGAAACAAACAGAACAATTCCAACACCTCTGACTCAAGAACTGAAGATCAAGTTAATCTACTTGATACTCTGGTTTGTAGCTAACCTTTAATGTGGCTTCCTTTATCATTGTTGCTGTTGTGGTTTTTGAAGCCATGCAGCTGCCTGGGGTCAATTTCCGCCAAATCGCTCACATCCGACCACTCCTCGTCGTCTTCGCTCTGCGCCTTCGTGGCCCTGTGACGGGACTGCTGTGGTTTAGAGGAGAACGACGACTGGCTGACTGCGCTCTGCCTGGACAGAGCCGGAGGGGTTTTGTTCGTTTTGATCTGAACCATCAGATTTAACGACTTGACTCGCCGGAGGTCTGGTGGCTCCTCCTCCAGGTCGGACTTTGAGTCGTCAGAGTCTTCGTCCGAACTAAACGGCGGGGTTCTTAGGAGTAGAAAAAGATGTTTCAATTTTGTCAAATTGAAAAAAAAAATAAGGGATAAAAATCAGCTGAAAGTGAGTATCTCCATACTTGCTTGTGCTGCTCTTCAATATGGGCTTCATGTTGGGGGTGGACGTCTTCGGCTGCATGAAGCCTTTGGTCCTGGGTGCCGGCTGCGGAGTCTTTGGCTGTGTGACGGTTGCTGGAGGAACCGCCTGACTGGCTCTGGAGGGCAGGCTGCTGGAGCGCGGGCGAACCTGCATCACTTCACATAAACCCGTTAACAGCATTAGAGACGACGCGTCGGGATGATCTCAGGCGTTAAGAGGCTTTTGTTGCTGACTCACCTTGATGGGGCTGTTTGGATCTTGGCGCGGCTTCACTGCCTCGCCTCGGTCCGCCCAGCTTCTGCTGAACCATGCTTGCGATCTCCTCCCAACAGCGCCAGTAGTCGGGCATCGTCTTGGCAACGGCCTCCTGCTTTAAACGCATCTTGGCGAGGAGGGAAGCTAACTCCTTGTTCGTCAAGCCTTTCTGGTTCTGAAGAGGAATAGAAGTAGGAACGCTAGTAATCAGTGAATCAACCTTAATCATTAACATTGATTGGTCTTATTAATTGATGGTTAACTGATAAGTAGCTGTTTCCTTAGAAACTTTAGTTTTCTCTTGTATCAAGAGTAGTGAATACCATTCCATGGTATATCTCCACCGAAATGTATGAGCTTCGAACTGGTGATAAATTTTCACTTATTTGCCGCTGCTCCGTCATACAGCCTGGCTGAATGAGCATTATTAAGGCGATAACTTTAATGAGCTTGTCGAGTGTTTATGTTTCAAAACATAACCACATAAAGTGTGTTTTTTGTCCCACACCACTCCGTTTAGACCATTTCTCTTTCCTGTTTTAAAGTGACGCTGCCATCTTTAGTCCTGGCTACGCTTAAGGATAACCAGAGGCGCCCTCTGCTGGAGGGCGGCCAAACTACTACACTAAAGGACTGTACGTGGATGGTTGTTAATCCATAGGAACTTATTTTAATCTAACCATTAATTGAAAATTTATCATAACTCAGCTAATTGTTTGCATCCCTAATTAAAAGTTAATTAAATATTGATTATTCGTACAGGCTTGACCCCCAGGCTCTCCAGCTTCTTGGTAAGGGAGCGTTCCAGCTCGGATCGCATCTCCTTCTTGATGCTGGGGTTCTTTTTCACAGCGCTGGCCGTCACCTTAGGTTTCTTAGGCGGTTCGGTCGCATGTTTACCGGACAGCGGTCTCTTCTCAGAGATGCTGGAATCTGGAAAAGAGAAGACAGACACTCAAAAACAAACCAGAAAAAATAAATAAACAAAAAAAAAAAAAAAAGAAAAAAATGACGCATGCATCAATGATATCCACAGGAAGCCATGCCATGAGGGGAGTTAGATGCAAGTTTGTTTTTTCTCTCTTTAGCCACCAACCAGACAACAAACATGATGAACAATCTAAGAATTCATCACGAATCAAAAACATTTCTTATTCCAAGTTTTTCTTTTAATTCTCTTGGCACAAGAGGAGACTGGTGCACTCATGCAGCATCATGCAGCCGCCCCGGTTCGGTCAGCCTGACCCGCGTTTACCTTTCTCCTCTTCCGACAACTCCTGTATGGGATCCAGCTTTAGAGCAGAGGCTGGCTCCGCTGAGCGTTCAGGTGAACAGGCAGTGGGAGCCAGAACAAACGGGGGGTTACAGACGGGAGACTGGGCTGCTTGGGAAGCATCAGCCAGATCATATGTGGACAGATGGAAAAAAAAAATAAAGAAGCTTGTTCTGATTAACTCACCCTGTGAGAATTTCTTTGGTTTGGGTTCTGGGACTGGTGCGCTGGCAGCGACTGGAAGACAGGAGGGATTAGAAGGTTTATTTTAAGGATAGTGTCAAAAACCTGCATTTTCGTTTTGAATATGAAGATACAAAATACAACTTTAATGATTTAAAGAAAACAAGAAGCCTTCCAGGAATCCTCACCTGGTATTTCTTGCACTTTAGTGGGCGGACTGATGGAAATGGTCCTCATCTGTGGAATGACATCACAAAACAAAAGGAACTTTACTTTTTACTTCTTAAATTTTAGTTCTTGTAAAAACTTGAATGTAAAGAAAGGAAAAGTCTAATGCTTTTGTTACTGTATGTTATCAGAAGTAGTGTCTCAAAATACAACAAATATTAAACTGGTTAGCAGTTTCGCATTTCATCAAGCTAACAAATATATTTTTAACAAGATTCCTACTTATTTATCACATTAGATAAACAGACAAGTTGTAGAATGAACTAGTTTTTTCCTACAAGCCAACAGCGGTTAGAAACATCAATAATCAGTCATTTCGCAGCTCTTTCTGGAGCTCCTCCAGGAAAGCAGCATTCACTTCCTGTGTACAGTATCATTATGCGTCAACGCTCAAATCCAGGATATCCTGAACAAGGGGCTACCACTCCGCCCGCTTCCTCTGGCGACATAATCTCCGACTGCAGCGGAGAGCGAGAAAGCGGAGGCCACCTGCTCTCTCTGAGCCTTGATGGTCTGCGCCTTCTCCTGCAGCCTGCGGTCCATCTCCTGCTGCAGCCGCCGGCTCTGCTCCTGGTGCTCCGCCACAGACGACTGCATCCTGCTCAGCTCGTTCAGCAACTGGAAAGCAAAAAAAAAAAAACGGTTGGGGGTTTGGGAGTGGGGGATGGGGGGTGTTACAAGTCCACTTGTTTCTGCTGAAGACGGTTTGATAATCATGTGTACCTGATTCTTTTCGGACTCATGTTGAGCCTTGATCTCTTTGATTCTGGATTCCCACTTTTTGTCCTAGGAGGGAAATGTATGCGTCAACAAAATACAAAGATATTTCCTTTATTTTTTTTTTAATTTCATGCCACAAATATCCAGCAACTTTTTACTTAGAAATACACTTGGGCAAAATTTTTAAAACAAAATTCAAATTTTTTGTTGCTGGAAATTAAGTAAAGAGAAACCCCCCCCAACATTTTACAGATTTTAGAAAATAATTAGCCCAAAAAGTTAAATGACTGTAAACATTATGGCAAATCTCTTACTAATGTTGGTTTCATCAAAATATTACTTGTTTAATTTACTGTTGTGCAGGTAAACGCTACAAAAACACAAAATCTTATCAAGTATTTTAGTCTAGTTTCTAATTGAACTAAGACAAAACTAACTTACAGTAACTCTTTAACAAGAAATACAAACTTGTTTTAAGTCAATAATTCCTTCATTTTGATTTTTTAAAAGTATGTGTTCCAATTAGCAATATAACAAGACATTTTTCCTGTTATAAGTGAAATAAACTTGGCACTTCTTAATCAATATTAAATAATAACTAAAAACAAGCTCATTCATGTTGTTGAAAACTTAATTGTAAGTTAGTTTAGTTTCAAGTGAACTAAGACATTTGCACTAAAAACTAGACTAAAAATACTTGGTAGGATTTTGTGTTTTTGCAGTGAAGGAGAAAGAATTCACAACAGCATTATGTTGGCGTTTTTGACTGGAGACAAGAAGAAGCTAATTTTGGCCGCTGAAGAATTTCAGTGCGAAAAGTTTGGACACCTGAGTTAGAAGATTTGTTTTTTTCCTCCCTGGCTGCTAACCTGTTTCTTCATCTGCTGCTCCAGCTTGTGGATGGCTTGCAGCTGCATGTCTTTGTAAGCGTCTTGCTGTGCCTGAGAGTTGACAGGGCTGCTTGGATTGTCCTGCTTGGCCGTCTGAGTCTGATTTGCTTCCTGGGAAAAGGAAGGATTGTGTTAATTTGACAAATTTTAACTGAAATGATGCAGTAAAAAGAAGCAGAAGTGAGCGGAGCGGTTCGGTCCTCGTACGGTGAGAGCCTGAATGTTTCGGTTGTAGAGGAACTCCATCTCCCTGCGCATGCCGTCTCTGCTGTCTTCCAGCTTCCTGTCCATGCGGGCCATCTCCTCCGCCTTGAAGCGCTCCAGCTCCCTCAGCAGCTCTTTGTGCATCGACTGCTGCTCCTTTTCCTACGCCAAAAAAAAAAACAAAAAGAAAACATGGCGGCCGTCTCTCTTGTTTTTATAGAGACAGTAGTTGTAGTTTTTATAATCCTAATTTGTGCGATTATAGGATAGCGAAAACAATCGTACCTGAGCAATTTTGGCCTGCAGATCCTGTTGCTGCTGAGTGATTTGATCCTTCAGACTGCTAATCTCCATTTTCAGACTATCAATCTGAGATTTCTTCTCGCTGTCGGACTGCAGCTCTGGAAGCACAAAGGTTCAAAACAATCTGTCAGTCTGTCCGATCGACGTTTGTGGCAAGTATTTGAAGCCTGCGATGGACTTACGCGACTGGTGCTGGTCAGGATGCCGCCGCTGCATGTGGTTTTGAAGGAAGGAGGAGTTGAGGAAGGATTTATCGCAATGTAGACACTATAAAGAAAAAAAACAAGAAAGAACATTTTGTTTACATTGATCACCTGTTAGAGCAGTTAATCAGTTTAACTGGTTTAAGGAAGGAGTGAAAAGTGTTAAACAGCAACAACAAAATAATTACTGACATGAAAAGCACAAAAGCCCTGAAACTGATACGCTGCTTTTCCGCTATTGAAGTAGAAGCTAGCACTAGCTCTGCACGTTTTAAATATAAAGTGTCTTTTCTGACAAGCTTCAAGTTTTTTTCCTAATATTCTCTGAGTAAAAGTAACATTTCCTCTTCACATAGCCGAACGGGACGAATGCGTGAAGGAATGTTGGAGACCTCTCTAATCGTGCGACCTTGAAACCGTTTGAAAATCATTTGAACTTGTAAATTATTTTCCAGCGAATTTAAATGTACTGAGGTGTGTAATGCACTTTTCCCCTTCAGCTTAAAGGCTTGATAGTCAAGCTAAAACAAAAAAACAAAAAAAAAAAAAACAAATCCAAGTTTCAAGTCTTAAAAATAATAATTTTCTGCCCTAAAATTATTCTAATAATTCAAAACTTTTCAACTTCTTTGTTGCTGTGATAAATTCCGATTCATGGACGGCACACTGATGTCCAGTTGGCTTAAAAAGGGTCCAAAGTTTATAACAGAAGCAACTAATTAAGCTGATATCAGGTTGCTAAACTTCCACTGTTGAGTTTTACACAGCAAAATTGCAAAAAAGCATATTAATCTCCACAATAAGCACATTGACTAATGAAATCGTAACTTAAGTGTACATTCTTCTGGTAAATAAGAATAAGGTAAAAGCAATAATCAATATGATATTTTAGCCTTGGGATGATTTGTCTCTTTGTAGTGCAATTTTGTTGCTAAGTAACACCATTTTGACATTGGCTACTTCTATTGTTTTTTTTTTTTTTAACTTCGGTTTCTTCTTCTTGGTAGCTAAGAACTTATAAACTCACTATAAAACAATAATGTTTTATTGTAATAATTGTCTTTACGTAAACTGCTCAATACATAAAATTCACCAATGTATTTAATTTCACTGTTATTTTTGAACACTAATTTCCTCCATATGTAAATCTATTAGTCATCTGAACCCTGTTAGAATCAAATTATTATTTCTATGTATTATGAGAGCTATTAATTATCAATGCATATTTCCCTGCAGTGGATAAGAACATATACATAAAAACAACCACTTTAAAACATAGGTTGTCCATTTTGTGCTTAAACAACTAATTTTACCTTATATTGTTTTAGAATCAGAAGAAGAGCCTGATCATTTTCATTTTAAATGGAAAAAAAAATGATATGTGCTGTACATTTTTGTTTCACATATTGGTTTAAAAACTGAAATCATGCTCATTAGATCTTAAGAATCTCACACCAGCAGTGATGCAAATAAACTCATAACCATTATGAACGGGAGCATCCACTGAGCAAGGCTGTGCATTTCCAAACAGTAGCACTGGTGATGCCGATATGCTGCCTGCCGCAGGCATCTCTACGGGCACCCCTGCTCTCTGTCAGACCCCGGCCAGCACAGATGCTGCCGGTGTGTCCACACGCTGCGTTTAACGCTGCAGTTCACTGCACCTGGGACTCCGTTTGGCAGTCAATCGACAGCTGCCGATACTGTCAAAGACCCAAAAACAGCCACACGGATCTGCAATGCTGCTTTCAAAGTTTTGAAACTGAGAATAATTCAAAACAGGCTGTGATTGGGTAGGTTTAAATGTTAAACAAAAAAACTCCAAGGAGAACGTCAGACGCCTCTATCAATTATTGATCTGGTTCTGTTAGTTGAGCTTGTGGCTTACACCTTAGCAACGGTCAGCTGCCATGAAACGCTAGAGCTGTCGTCATGACAACCTCTAGGTTAGGTCAAAGGCGACCAGTCGTTCATTCAAGGAGCACAAGGAGATTTCTGATTATTGCCTCCAATGGTCTGACAATGAGCTTTATTTCAGACACAGTGACTTGCAAAAATACACACACAAAAAAATCTGTATCGGTCAGAAAACTGCAACCAGTACAACCCTAATATACTGCATTAAATCACAATAAAATACATTAACATATGACAAATTTTTAACGGAAGTGGAAATCTTTTTGCCATGACACTCCAGTGACAAAATGAACACAGCAGGTGGGTAGGGGGGGGGACAGTCATTCTGATTATAGTCTTTTTTGTTTTGTAAGTGGATTTACAAAAAACTACTTGGCACGAAAACACACCATCTGCTTAGCAGCTCTAAATCCTTTCTTCAGGTCTGAAAGCTTTGTTCTAATCTTACCAAGAGAACTCCAATACATTTTATGGAAAATGTCTGAGCTGCAGCTGTGCATAGATAATGAGAGAGGGGCCCAAAAAGAGGAGAAAAGCGGGGTGAGGGAAAAGGGGGGGACGTCTGCAGTACCTTGTGACTGCTCATGATCCGTGGAGCCAGCAGCGACTGCTGGGTGCGTATCACCTTCTTCCTCTGCTTCAGCTCGCCCATCAGCGCCTTCGCCCTCTCCTCCTGCTTCCTGTGCAGGGCCAGCAGCTGCTCCCGCTCGCCGGCGGCCGCCACCAGCCGCTCCTCGGCGCCGCGCAGGTTGGCGCTGAGGACCTCCTGGCAGTGCAGGAGCCACTCCACCGAGAGCTGCGCCAGCCGCAGCAGCTTGACGAGCGCAGGGTCCACGGGGCTCTGGCACCGCTGGCAGCGCTCGCCGTCCAGGCTGCAGAAGGTCACGGTGCCGATGTGCTCCTGCAGGGCGTCCACGTCCAGCTGGCTCGCCACCAGATCCACGTCCACAGCATTGATGCGCCGCCAGTCCACGCTCTCGCGGCGCGGGCGGAACTTGAAGGCGGCCGGGGCCATGCCCGGCGCAGAGTGCTGGCTGAGCGGGGAGTTCAGGAGGGAAGGGATCCCCACCGACGAATGGGTCCCCTGGGCGTCGCTGCTGTAGGGGTAGTACACTCCATCGTGAAATGGCTGAAACAAAGAGCAAAGAGCTCATCTGAAGACAATCACTATTCAGTTCACGTTTTCATCAAATGTCCTAGAAAAACCTCACAGCTACGAGAAATGAGGCAAAACAGCAGCCGACTGAGCCTCTGTCCTGCCCTGCTTACCATCCTTCACTCGGTGAGGTCTCCTCTCCGGTTCCGCCCACCCCCTTTCAGGCAGCTCAAAGCGTCAACGGGCGCGTTACCATGGAGACAGAGACCAGCGTCCCTGGGGAGACCAATGTTATCAAAACACCGCAGGCAGTCGGCAAATGTTCGTCCCTGTAGAGCACATATTCGTCTGAACGTATGGAGAAGTTAATACTATATTTAACAGCTTGGATACATTTTAAATAGTGACAAAAAGAAGACAGAAAATGAAAAGTGGAATTTAACTTACCTACCAGTGTGTTACGGAAAATGGTTTCCGGTGCTAGCAGTGGCTAATTTGTCGGTGTTTTTGAATTTCAGGTTGGGGCAGGATTTTTTTCCCCCCCCTTCCACTCCAGCTTGGACCGCTATCCAAACAAAGCAAAACAAGCCCGAACCTGTCTTATCCAGAGTTCCGAAGTCTTAAATTGCCGTCCAAATTCAAAACATCTGCATATATTAAAAAACTCAAAGCTTTTTCCCCAAAACAACCTTAGAGTCAGTTGTATGCCGAAGCCGTTAACTAGCTAACGGGGAGTTTTTAGAAACTGCTTTAAAAACACATTTAATACAAACGTACCCATCACTTACAACAAGAGATGTATATCAAGGTTTAATTTAGCATTTTCTATCAAATAAACTTACGATAGTAGTCGTTTCGTTCAGGTAAAGCCTTTTTAAAAAGTTTTTCATCGACGACACCTCAGGCAGTTTGTGGGTGACGTAGCTGCTGGTCTCCACATTCCTAAATCCCTGCTCGGTTGGAAGAGGGGCCGCCATGAAGTTAACGCTAAAGAACAAAACTTCCGGTCAATACCTTCAAAGTAAAAGACTAAGACTAAATCTAAGTACATTCAAACAAAAAGGGAATTTTTTGAGCACATTAAATGGCCTTCTTGTACGAAAGTTTTACTTCCATAAGCCGAGACAACATCTCTATAATATTTTTGACCATACTGAATAAAGTTAGCCTTTATAAACTTTCTCTGGAGTATGAAATGTTTCCTAAAGGTTCCTGGAACAGTAAGTTTCTGCTAAGACACATTGAAGCTGGAACTAAGAAACATTTCTTGGAGTATACATTTATGTTCCATGTTGAAACTCTTACCTTTCTGGAAACCTAAAGACTAAACCCTGTGCCTGATGGTTCTCTAAGGGTAAAAACATGATTTCAGAAAACTTTAGGGGGAACTTTCTCTAAAACCTACATGGTGTACCGTTATCTTTCAAGGCTGTTAAGCCTTATCAGTAATCTTCAGATAATGCTCAGAGAATTTTCTCCAAAGGTTTTAAAATATGTACTCTCGAGAGCAGGGGTCACCAACTCCAGTCCTCAAGGGCTACCATCCTGCAACTTTTAGATTCATCTCTGCTCCAAAATGTCTGAATTCCCTCACCAGCATTAATTCCTCTCTGCAATAGGCTGGAAACGAGCAGTTTATTTGATCCAGGTGTGTTTGAGCAGAGACGCATCTGGAAGTTTCAGGATGGTAGCCCTCAAGGACTGGAGTTGGTGACCCCTGCTCTAGAGAATATCCATTGAAGGTTCACACTGGGACAATTCTAATGAACTTTATAGAGAATGTTCTCTGAATGATTTTTTAATATGCAGTGAAATAGGAACTGAATGGAGAATGTCTAGGAACGTTTCTCTAATGATTCAGATATTTGGGAAACGTCCCCTAAGGCTCCCTATGATCACTCTGAAAAAGTTACAACTTAGGTTTCCTCAAACAAGTGTTACCACTTAATTTTAAGACGCTTTTATATATAAACCATAAGTTAAACAGATGCCAAGTGCATCATGGACATGTAAAACTACAGCACCCATTTCAAATTGTGAATGTCTAATGCCTAACTTTTAATTTGAAACTACAGCCGCTCGTTTCCGGTGTTGGTCCGTCTTTTATGTTGCAACTTGCAATGAGATGGGGGGAAGGGAGAAGACAGCTTTGAAAAAGAGGGGGAGCCTAATGGCATGGTGACTTTGAGGGTCCATTCGGAGGAAGGAAACTTTTTTGGAAACATATTACCAGACATTGACAATGATAGATTTCCTTTCTTTTTTCTTTAAGTGACACAAAAAAAAAAAAAAAAACTAAGTTTGAACTTCAGTTGGGTAGCTTCCTTGATTACAGTATTATAAAGATTGTTCTGTATTTGCTAAAACGTCACACATATCCATCTTACTGCAGGTAGATAAGGTAACAAGTTGAATAGGAGTACCCTTGACATCCAGTCACCAGCTCTTAATGCATAATACCCTGATTCATGCATCTATCTCTTGTTCTACCTTGAACTAACCGACTCTGCCACTATCTAGAAAAGCTACAGTCCCAGTCTTAAAGAAATTTATGCAGGCTTCCTATATCAAGTCAAGACGCAATCATATACTATCCCACTGGGTGAAACTGTTAGATTCACCACAGGTGAGCCTGTCCACAGCAATAATTAAAATAGATTGTCAAGTCCTAGTAACCAAAATTACATGAAATAATAATCATCTTAGACAGGGAAAACAGGCAAAAGTGGCTAGCAGTGCAGGCTACTTTGTACTTTCAAAGGTTTGCAGAAAACCTTTGAAAGTTGATGATGATGTTAAAGGGAAGCATCTCTTTAACGACTGTTATCAAAGTGAAAGTTATTGCACTCATTTTAATTTATGATGTGAATAATTGTGTAATTGTAGGGTTTAGGATCTACGGATAATGAAAACCCAAAATTAAGTATCTCAGAAAATGATAATATACCATAAGATCAATTTAAAAAAAAAAAAAAAAAAGAATATTTTAAATGTCATGTTTCTGAAAAGCCTGACATAAAAAATTATTTGAATTAAAATATTGTCTGGGGTTTCTTTTGTATGAATTACTTTGTACCAAATACTTTTTTATTCTTACTTCAGTAATTTCTTGGACGACTGCTTTTTACTTTTACTTGAGCAAAAATGTGTTGAGTGATGATCTAGTGTTGTCTAACATGTTTCCTTTTTTTGTAAGAACTCTTTATTTAATGTTTTTGTATGTGATATAAAATCAAATACAGGTATTAAGATTAAGTGAACATACAGAGGAAAAAAAACAATAAATGTGCAGACCTATACTACGGAGTGTGTTTTTGTTAATATGTTAATATGTTAATATGGTAGAGAAAGAAAGACATGGAAAAATAATTCTAATAAAGCATTATATTTTATACAATCAACATGTTTCCAAAAAGATAATGGGAAAAAAATGCAAATTTGGAACAAAAAGGTTTTTATACCTCCAGGGTATGGTTTGAGTTAATTTCCTAACATGTGCGCCAAACTACCAGAAGAGGTCAGTAGAGATCTGATCTGACTTCTGTCATGAGTCGGCATCTCCTGGTGGAGGATTGATGACAGGAAGAAAATGATTCTTTGCTTTATGAAGGAGAAAAACCGAAAAAAAAAAAAAAAACAGACATATTTGCTTGTAAGGTGCTTTGATTGCACAGGTTTGCTCTCTGAATGTTTCATTTAGTCGTAACATTAAGGAACAAGTAGCACACAGGGCGGTGCCGTGATGTCAGGCAAACTGGACTGCATTGTGTTAAACTCTTCATCAGAGTCCCAGTGCTGAGGGAAGCTGGGCCATCTCTGCGATCAGTCCTCTGACAGCTTCAGCCCGCTTCTGATGAATAGAGATCTTAATTCTTCCAGACAGGGCCGGGGACTGTCAGCACAGCCTGAGGCAAGAAGGGAACATCTCCTCCCAGGCCTCTCTCACCGCCGCCATCTCGACGGAGAGCTGAAGTTCAGCTGTAGGACAAGGCGCCGATACCGTCCTCGCTTCAATTTCCTATCAAACTCAATTTTCTGTCGAGTTTTTTATCTCATAAACGGTCCCTTTAGCCCTCAGGTCAGAACTGTGACACAAAGTTGGGTGTAAAATCCACACTTTTTTTTTTTATTTTGATAAGTTTCTCCAAAGCAAGACCCAAATGCACAGCAGAGGAGTTGCGGCGTTCCATTAGTCACGCAGTAAAAAAAAGGAGCAAAGCCAGTGCAGAGGTAGAGGAGCAGACCTCTTGAGATGAGTAAGCACAGCCCTACACTCAATTTACTGCTTGATTTATGAGTTCATTTCCTGTACGAAAGTTCTCAGCGGGGGTGCGGTGGTATATCTTCCCACTATAGGTAGCTGTGGCTCCACTTCCCAATCCCCAGGAGAGCCACTCTCACCACTGCGGGCCTTAGCAGGACTATAAATAATGGCTTCTGTAACAAGTGCGCATTGAACACAGAATGTAGAGGACGGCCCAACATCTTTATTCATGAAGGAGCTTCTTATCTTCTGATGCGGCACTCTGCATACCGAGACACCGGATACAGAGAGGATGTACAGTATCTCTGCTCCCTAATAACAATAACCCAGATAGTTTTAATGCTTTGATGGTAAGAAAGATGCTTTGTAGTTTAAAAAAAAAAAAAAAAAATCCAGCTCAACAAAAGGACTACAGATGAGCCTCGCTTAAATAGCCGAGTGCTTTTGTGAAAAGAATATTTGGAGGATTTACCGTGTTAGAATTAAAACTTTCAAAGAAAGGGATTAAAATACACTTTCTCCTCTTTAGTATAATAAGAAAAGAAGATTTCCATGGTAGAGAGCTCGACTTGAGAGGCAAATGCGCCTCATTTTGTGACATTGTTATACAACGAATGAGTGGTTTGACTTGGTACTGTTTAATCCGTCATCTGAAAATGGAAAGAATGTCCCACAAGTGTTAACCCACTAAGTCATGAACATCCATTGGTACACGACTCAGAGAAGCAGCCAAGAAGAACCACAGTCACTCTGGATGTTAGTAGTTGCCAAAAGCCACGTAGGGAACACCGTAAACATGTAGAAGAAGAAGCTCTGGTCAGATAAGACCAAGGTTCGACTGGTGTTTTCCATTTGTAGTCAGAACTCAGAAAGTCCCAACTTCTCAGTTGAAAACAATCAACTGACTGAGGTAGAGTTTCAACTTCTAGTCAGCACGAGCTATAGCAAATTAGCTTGAATCAAAGCGTATTCATGTGTTAGAATGGTCTAGTCAAAGACCAGATTGAGATCTAGTTTAGAAAACTGACATTCACAGACTCTCTCAAGGCAATTCCTCTGAGTTTGGGCTATCTTGACAAACACAATGGTCAAAAATTTCAATCTCTACATATGCTAAGCTAAGCTACATGCGATAAACGCACGTCATGGCAACGGATAGTGGGAATTTCATCCTGCGATAATGCGCACACACATGTACCGCCTTTTTCGAACCAGTTCGGACCATTTACCAGATTGCAATCCAGACAGACTCGAGTGTCAGCTCAGCTCAAGGAGAGATCTCGCCACAGCAGGCAACTTGAAGCCGAGTGGCGATGCAGCCTGCCGCTGCCCACCGGTTTACCACTCAGCTACTTTGTTGTCTATTTTCTACGAAGCAGCAGCAGCAGCAGCAGCAGGGGTCACCAGTAGTGAATCAGCTTTGTGGGAAGGAGAGATGAAAGAGTTCTGCAGTGAGGAGGGGAGAAGGAGAGAAGCATCCCACTGTTAGCTTTCTTTGTCCCCTGTGAATGTTGCTCGGGTCATAAAAGACCCCAGAATTATATAAATATAAAACCGAGAAATGACGAAGTTTGCACTTTTTTTCCCCCTCTTATCTTCCCACTAAGCGTGGAGGTTTTGCTCTATAGGGAAAATCAGCCACAGCAGCAGGGGAGGTTTTTTTTAAGAGAAAACAGGTAACAAGACTGGAATATATGTGAAAAATAATATAAGATGAGT